GTTGTTTCCGCTATATAAGCTAGATGACTACAGCAACAACTGCATTGTTGCTATAGTCATCTAGCTTATGTAGCCGGGTAGTCGCACTTTTCCTTGACCAGCAGGCGCGCACACATTTTTATGCCTCCTCGAGTGCCCATAGAAACACGAGAACGTTCTGTGAGAATGTCGATGGGCGGCATGACGCAAAAGGATATGGCAACAACAGTCGGGGTTACACAGGCTAATATCAATAGGATGGTGAACTGATTCCAAGAGGAGGGGCATATTGGCGGTGCACTTCGACATTGCAAGCGCTCTGCTCTCCTTTGCTACGGAGAAGGGGCTGTGTGCGATCAACGGAATAGCCTAGCAGACGACGCTCCCACCAGAAAGGGATCTGTGCGCACGCGCTTAATCTCTCCCGTATCGCCGCACGCCTCCGCGGCACGGCGCTGGCCATCCCGGCGGTCGACGCTCGCTTGACATGATTAAAAAATTGGGCCACTCTACAAACCATGAGACCAACGCACACAACCCCCCCCCCTCCCCCCCCCCCCCCCCCCCCCCCTAGGAACCTCCTTCCACTAAAAACCGCTTACGAAAGCGCTCATAGTTTCGGGTACTGATAAATGCACAATGTATGACGTAGCTGGTGCAGGAACTCATTGTCTTTTGGAGATATAGTGTCTACATATATTTATGTATCTGTTTATAAATTTATATGGTATGTGCATACTATAATGAAAGGTAGTGGCTTACCATCCAAATAGTTTGGCCAAGCACTGCTGTCGTAATTTTCAAATATTGTGTCGAGGTATGGCAATTTGAATGCCTTCTCGTAATACGTCCTGCGACCTACTCTTGATGAGCCAAGGCGGCTATAAATCTCGCTTCGAGAATAACGTCGGGCGTATAACTCATTCCTAAAAAAGAAAAAAAAATAATTATGCCACACAAAGTGTTACCATGCAATGACCTGGAAGTAATCTTAAGCTTTTCAATTCATCGCCGGCGTTAAATAAACTCCCTTGTCTGCTTTTTTTTTTTAAGAACATAAGGGTAGAAAGAAAAGTTAATAAACTGCGGATGTACCACAAAATTTTCTCAACGTAAGTATTTTTTTTTTCATCAGAACGTAGATCTGACTGGTTCGTTAAATGCAAAGAACAAATATATTGATGTTATTTCGTATTTTCTAAATGAAACAAAACTAAACTAGCACGCACACACCTCAGCAAGCAGGTCAAAAGAATAGACTGGCAACGTCATGAAACTAATTTAAAAGCTTTCAAATGGTCAGCAAAACGAGTTCATAAGACCCGTCGCTCGCGCACTTAATGTGTATTTTCAGAACGCAGCATCAATCTGAACAATGATTATGCTCTTTCTAACTTAAGCAGGCATAGCCAATTCAGCAAGCGGTGTTCACGTGGCTTATATAACAAAGCACACAGTAGTACATTCATAGCCACTTAACTTTCTCCCCTTTTTGTTCTCTTTTTGTGTTTTTAATCCACTAGGTCGAAAATCGATCAATTGCGGGTAAGCGCTAGTCTATAGAATGCGTGTTTCTTCCCAGTTTTCCACGTTTCTTGTTTGATGTAATTTTCATAATATTTTCATGCTTGTTTCTGCGGAGAGATCACGCCCTAGGTACCGCCAGTATTGCCGGCTAGGTGGCCCTTACAATTTATTACCCACGAACATCCGCAAGTCTGGAAAAAAGCGCTTGAAAGGATTTCATAAAGGTGTAAAATTCAAGACTACGGCAACGTCGAGCTAAAAGACAAAGCCAATCAAATTGTCCATATTTTCAATATTAACATTTCGATTCGCCAACATGGGAATCATTTGCCTACCTCTTCTGGCTCTCGACACCGTATAAACAATATGAGCGAATATTTACGTTTTGGGTTTGTCCAGTTGTCCAAGTGGTAAACCAATGAGCATCACAGCAATCCAAAGGTGCTGTCGAATACAAAAACAAATCATCAAAGTACAAAACTCTGTGTACATTTCGAGTGTCTATAACAAGTGTGCGTTTACTCCAACCTTTCTGAGCGACTTTGAGCTTTATGAATTGCTCCAACTGGATGGCATGTGCACGTGTACTCGTTGTTTAGCTCGTTTTGTTTCTGATTTCGGTTCGCACATTGAAGTTTCCTTTTATTGTTCTATAACCTTGGCAACAATAACGACGTCAACGAATAACACGACTGATTTCCGCTCAGCCTTCTCAATGACAGGCAGCCGACACTATAAAAGATTAGCCCCAATGATGCGACAGTAAAGCGTCGCTTGAGTTCTCGCAACTTAACTATACGGATCTTCGCACCGCGAGCCGCGTTAGATGCACAAGATTGGCACAAATGGCTCTTAGTTTTTGCTTCAAGTCGGAGGGACAAGAGTGAACCAATTTAGAACGTTACCGCTCCAAATCAATGAAAGACGTTTACGAATCTCTGTTGCGCGAAACTAGAGCTCAGCTCTTTAGGAAGTGGAGGGCAATGTATGCCCCTCCACCTCCTCCCATCCTCATCTCCCGCTCCCCTGCCATTTAGCGGGAAATATTGGCTAAATTTCCCGCTATGTTTAGCGAAAAATTCCTCGCTAAAGTTAGCGGGGAAACTGAATTGCTGTTGAGGTCACGTGACATCAATTTCCACGCTAAGTTTTGAGGGGAAATTGTTACGCTAAACTTAGCGGAAAAGGTTTTCGCTAAATTTCAAGCGACGTCACATTCCTTCACGTGACGTCACACGGTACTTCACAAAGTTTACGAACAGCGCTAAGACAAGAACAAACTGAAGAAGTGGACAGGGCAGGTGCTAACTCACAACTGACGGTTTTATATACTACGTGAAGAAGAAGGCGCAGGAAGTGGCTGGTGTTGAAAAAAGAAAAAAAATAATTAAAGTTCTAGCTGGGGCGTTCTAAGAAAGGAAATTGTTACAGTAATAGGACGAAAACACAGTTGACCAAAACAAAAATATTAAAAATTAAACAAAGGTACTGCATTTGACTATATACGGTATTATTTTTTGAAGGGATACAAAGTTCTCCTTTTTTTGAAACCAGCCAGTTCCTTCACCTTTTTCTTTCTCGTTGTATATAAAATCGTTAGTTATGACTTGGCGCCTGTCCTGTCCACTTCTTCGTCTGCCCATGTCTTAGCGTTATTTGTAATTAGTATGTATAGCCAACTCGCCCACCCGAATATTTTGGGACGTCACGTGTGATCACGAAGGTACAATGTTCACGCAAAATTTGTCGGGAACTGTTTCCCCTAAACTTAGTAATTAAAATTTTCCGCTAAATTTAGCGGAAGAATTTACTCTGGTTGAGTGGCGTCACGTGTGACGTCATTATGGGAAACGTCCCATAATGCAACGTGCGGTTACGGCGACATCGACGGCGAGGCCGCTCAACCCGGAAACGGCCGCCGGAAGGCCCTGTCACACTGAGGCAACACGACGGCAACAGCAGCACAACACGTTGTCCAACAGTCTGGCAACTTGTTGCTCGCTCCCCGTGTTGTCCGACAAACCTGTCACATCGCGGCAACAGCAGAACAACATAAACGACAACTAAAATGTTGCCTCGGTATTACAGCTTTCGGCGAAAAAAACAGCAGCTACTTATGTTGGACAACGTGTGTTGCCCTGATCGCTGGCTGAGCGAACTTCGGGCCGGCAACACGACAACACAGATAGCTTCGATGACAGAGCTAGTTCACTATCAATAACGTCTTACTCAAATAAATTCTTGGAAAACGTTATTTAACAATTTTGTTGGTGGCATGCAGCTAAAATTTTTTTGTGAATGTTTTTACTGCGTAATTACGGAAAACAATTGTCGAAATAATGACCATTTCGGCAATCGACAATTGCTAGGGTCGTGAACGTTCAGACTGGTGTTGAAATTAGAGCCGCCGAGAGACCAGCTCAGATTACTGCTAGTGAAATAAAATGGCATGCCTACTCACCCGCTGATAGAGTATAATAATATAACCCAGAAAAGGAAATATTAAAAAAAATATATATATAAAATGCCCCATGTTGCATATCTGCAACACAGACTTCGACAGCTGAAGAAAGAAACATCGGGCCCATTTTCTGAGAAAAAAGGTTGTCAGTAATCTTCTCAGTGGACATTTCTCAATCCAAAAAGTTCAGAATTTCGCCACTAGGGGCAGCGCAGTGCTCGTAGAAATTCTTTAAAAATGGCGTCCCCCACGCCGGGCGGGAGTTCCCCAAACAAGGTATGTTTACATTTCCACAAAGCATCTAAACCTGAAAATAGGAGCTCTATATCACCGGAGGGGCCTCTAGCAATGTTCTTCGCATGCATCGCATGCAGAATCTTGCATTCCAAACATCATATGAAGCTGGATATGTTTTATTCCTGGCATGTTGCAAATGTGCAACAGTGGGCAGTGAGTGTCACTTCACACGGTTGTTGCATATACAACATTCACTTTTTTCTAAATTCTTGCTACAATTTTTTTTTTTTTGGTTAGGTAACATAATTCAGCTGTCGTTTCGGGATGTTGTTGCACTCTTGGTAATTTGTTCTTTTCCCAACTACAGACCGTCATTGCACCTTCGGCTTTCTATGGTGTTCCAAAGACAAGACCAAAGCGATTCCTTGGCAAGGATAACTTGCTGGACAACATCGATTGCAACGAGAGTGACCTCTCGGGTGAAAGCAGCAGTGAAGAGTGCGACTCAATCACTGAAGATAGCAGCGATGAAGACGTCGAGAGCACTGACGCTGATGTTCAGACGGGGGTTCCCAAGGGGGACCTGAAAAGAACCTAGGCAAACAAACGCTACACGTGGAAAAAATGTGCGTTTGACCAAGTTGGCACAGTCTTCGAAAATGATTTCCCCCTGCCTCCTGCCGAACCCCTGGCAGCGAAGCAGCTGTTTGACCTATTTGTTTCGAGGAACATGCTAGAACACGTTGTTCAGGAAACTAACAACTACTATATGGGGAAGCATGGAACAACACTAAATATGACAGTCGAAAAGCTCACCTCGGTCTTAGGAATGTTTTTTCGCATGGGACTTGTGGATATGCACAATGTACGTGCCTACTGGGAACATGGAAGCCGCTATGAGCTGGTTGCACAGATAATGTCGCGCAGTCGATTTGAGAAGATTGCTGGTCACTTGCATTTTGCTGACAGCGACGGTGCAACAGACGAAGTGAAATACGACAAATGCTGGAAGCTGCGACCATGGCTCTCAGAACTGCAGGAAAACATGCTAAAAATACCTCAGGAATGCAAGTCATCCGTCGACGAAATTTTGATACCTTTTCGAGGAAGGTCGCCAATTCGTCAGTACCTTCCACACAAGCCGAAGTGCAAGTGGGGCCTTAAGCTCTGGGCTCGTGCTTGCGATTCTGGACTTTGTTACGACTTTGACGTTTACCAGGCATGCAGCAAGGGAGTCTACGAAGATCAAGAAGGATATCAGTTGGGTCTTGGTGCAGGAGTTGTGCTTTAGTTGTGTTCAAGTCTCCCTGACCGAGACAACAATGTCATTGTTGCTGAAAACTTTTTTACGGGACCGCACTTAGTCTGCGAGCTAACGCGGAGGGGTGTCTCGTACATTGGAAGTGTAAGAGAGAACAGACTCCAGTCGTGCAAACTTATGGATCAGAAGGGAATGAAGATGCAAGGTCGTGGCGCGTGTGATTCACGTGTCGCATCATGTGGTGACAAAAGCATGATAGCTGTAAAGTGGTTCGACAACAGAGCGGTCACCCTTCTTTCTAACTGCACTGGTGTGGAACCAGTCACCTCTGTAAAGATGTATGATAAGAAAGAGAAGTCTCACATCTCAGTTGAATGTCCAGCAATTGTACCTGAGTACCACAAATTGATGGATGGCGTTGACTTGCTAGACAAGGTGTGCTACAGCTACATGTTTTCCATACGCTCCAAGCGGGGGTACATGTACATATTTTGGCACAGTGTCAAAATTGCTGCAGTGAATGCGTGGTTTCTACACAAATGTCACTCACTGCAGCACAGGGAAGGTTCAATGCCACTGCGAGATTTTCTCGCTGACCTTGCCACGAGCTTGGTTTTGTACAGGAAGCGTCCACCTGGCCGCCCTTCTCAAGAGAATCTTCCCGTGGTGAAGCGGGCGTCACCAGAAGTTCCACGCGACGTAAGAGGGGATGGTAGCCATCATTGGCTCATTTGGATGAACCGCCGCAACAGATGCAAGTTGTGCACCGGAGGCTACAGCTACGTCGCTTGCTCTAAGTGCAATGTTCTCTTGTGCATAAACAAGGACCGGAATTGTTTCGTTGGTTTCCATCGAAGTTAGATAACCAAGACATGCTAGAAAACATGTCTGTCTGTGTTTTGTTTATGCCTGCTTCGCCTTGTTTGATAAAATAAACACATCCTAAATATGGCACATGTTTTGAGATATTCACTTACTGCCCATTGTTGCAGATATGCAACAAGCTATAGTAGACAATGTTTATAACTTATGAAGATTTTTTCGGTCCCTGTGTCTATATTTGTGTTCAATGAGCCTATATTCAATATCAAATACGCTCACTAGTTTTTGCACTGGGAAGCAATGGGTTAAGACGACCACTCTGATCATGATTGTTGATGCTTGGAACTTGGAAACAGCCGCTACCAGACACCTGATGTGTTTTAAAAATACCCAGGATGTTTTGCGGCATGAAGCGATCACATAGCAGGCGGTAGACAAATGGTCAGTGTTAAAATTTTTTATTCCACCACTTGTTATGAAGGCTGATCGTGTCGTTGTCGCACTTTTGAAACGCTATCAGTTCACCTCAACACCACGTTACAGAAGACGCTTTGGGGTACCACCGGTGCTTACTCAATTTTACAGTAGAAATAGAAATTGCTAAAAAAACAAAAAAAACAAAAACAAAAAACGGAAAGAAACACTTTATACCGGTTGGCGTAAATCCCGAACATATATCAGCGACCTCACTTTCCTCGGTTAAGGCTATCTGCTTTGTCAGCGAACGAAGGACATTTCGATAAAATCAAGGGTGGAAAATACTCGCCTCTTCAAATTTTCTATTCACAGTCACTGGTTGATGTCGTCCCGTTGTAATTTTCGGCCCTTCGAATGCACTACCACTTTGTAGAGTCACATTTCCAGCGACGCAGCGACGCACACGACGGAAGGTAAACAATAAAGATGGCGGAGTGTTCCCCGTGTTGCCCCCGCCGTCAGCGCGGTGTGACAGTTTAGTCGGATAACACTGTTGCCGGGCGGCAGCAACACGTTGCCCGACTGTTGTTTGCCGTGATGTGACAAGGTAGCCGGCCACACGATTTCCTCCTGTTGCCGGATACAGTTGTCCAACTGTTGCCTCAGTGTGTCAGGGCCTTAAGAGTTGGGTTCTAAAAGTGCACACCAGGGCAGCTCGGTTTCGGAGAGGTGGTCGGTAATGGTGTCGTCAAGGCACGCATGACTCCGCCACTCCGCCGGCTACACAAATCCCGGTGATGTGTTTTTACAGCCCTCGGGTACTCTAACTAAGCGAGGTACTAACGCGTTGGCGTCACCAAGCGTCAACGCTCACAATTTCGGTACGCTTGGCCGGCCGATGACGTCGCGGGCAAGTTGCGGGCGCGACGTATATCCCGAGACGCACCGCGCTCTTTGATGACTGAATTTGAAGCGATCAGCAGAATCGAACATTTAAAACGAAACATAACTGTCATCGATTTGAAATACGAGCGTGGGATTGTCATTAGCAGATAGATTTGATCGTATTATCTTATATCTGAACGTGAGAGGTATATTTTAAGCTTCGATTTTGTATCCCTATAAGTTGACAGAGTGTTCTAAGCTACGTGCTCGTGGAACCAATCATTCGCCTTTTTTTTATCGCCTGACCCCGCTCTCATTTCGCGAGTATAGGAAGGGAGCCCGGTCAGGAACGAAAAATCGACGGCTAACCGATCCAACAAGTGTTTAGCTCCCACCACCCTGTCAGCAAAACATTGAACGATATATAGTGCTGCCTCAAATTCCCGTGCGGCGCCTTAACTCGCACACACATCCCTCAAAGGTTCTGAACGTATGTGCGTACTTGAAAGGTCTCACTATCATATGCCGCAGATATGTGCCACAAATTCAACGATATATAAAAGAGAAAGAGAAATGCTGGGACAAAAATGTCCACCCCTGCATCTATTATTGGCCGACTTCAATGCTCATCTTCAACTCAAGAACTGTTCCAGAATTGCCACGCGGATTCTAATATTTACATATAAAGAAGACAAGTTTCATGTTCATTTTGTACATATATGACACAATATGCTTTCAGGCACATTGTAGCATACAATGTCTCATAAATAGTTTTGTATTTCTATTAACAACCTGTGATTAAATAATATACCTATAGAATAACTTTCATAAGACATGTAATCGTTGGGTGGTCATAATGCTCTGATGCTTAAAAAATAAGCGTTTTTATAACAGTGCGTCACTAAACATGACTGCTAAAAATGATATAGCTATTACGGCCTTAAGCGCGAAACCAACACTTGTTCATAAAACATCTATAGCGTTTTTATTATCATTATGTAAGTAATAAAGCGTTATCTGACTGATATGTTTTATCATAACTAACTGCGTAAATTTTTGTTCTTTACATAAAGACCATTGAGAGGTATAGGAGTTCTCTTTAAATACGAAATAAATTCGGCATTAATATCTTTATATTGATCAAAAACGCGTGAACTTTTGAAGCGTCCTTAAAACAGCTAGAGTTGAGCCTTTGTTTTTCTCTCACATTTATATTATTTGTATGTGGAATAGAAACAACACCTTTCGAAAAACCTGATTTATGATTCCATTATGTTGTCAGCCTCAATAGTACAGCTGAATTATATTACAATCTTACACGCATAGACAAGGTTGATCTCATTTGATCGTTACAAGACGAGAAACAGAATGGCAACCTAGAAATAAGTTTACTTATTTTAGTGAACTATAGTCGGTACTTCTTTTGCTGGGTCGTAAATGAATATCATCGGCCTTCAAAAAGATCGGTAACTAGCGTGCTGCGCTTGAGCTTAGGCGAGATGAAATTGTGGCAGGGGCCTCAGCAATCATTCGATTTTGGGCACTGAACTCGTCAAACAGAAAGTTGGAGCAGAAAGTTCGTGGGGCGCGCCGATTGGACGTCGGCGAAAAAATCGCGAAATCATCGTCATGATAGGCCAATCGGTGCGCTCCGTCTACTTCGGCCCCAACTTTGTGTTTGACGAGTTTAGAGGCCAAGGTCTGTTCTCACAAGAGCCTCTAAAGCGTAGATACTACACTTTAATGTTCAGACACCCTATGGTTACACTTCACGAACTTTTATAATTGTGTCATGAATCCATTAAAACATGCGACGAGTCCATTCGAGTAAATATAGTAGCACACTTTAATAAGTAACTCCAGACGGACCTGAAACTCTCCGGTTCCTTTGTGCACGTCACTGTGCACTTGACTCGGAAGGCGATCTATAAGTGGAGCAGTACCACAGACGCCAATCTGCTTGAAGGTTGACGAGCAGACAGAAAGGAGGAAACTCTCCCTAGATTCCTCTTTACTATTCAAGAAAAAGGGAGACCCTCTTTTCTGAGGGGAGTAGCGGAGGCATTTTGATAGAAGAGAGACCGCCCCTGTAGGGAGGGGAGTAGGGAAGAGTGGTGGACGGAATGGAGAGAAGGAAACTGGGTACCGCTTTTCTTCCCGCTAGGAGAGACAACTCTGTAGGTTCAAGGTTGGCATTTGAAGGGGCATGCTTATGTGGTTTCTGAAGTCGTCTGTTTATGGCGATAACGCTAAGCCTCCTTATAAACAAAAACAAAATTGCACTCCTGGGCGGCCGACTTTCCTACTAAAAATCTATAAAAAGATCGTGACACGCCGCTCTTTCTGCGCCTTGGATGCACCACGGGGTGCCGTCGAACGGCGTTTTCAAACAATTATTGCCGTATGCCATCTCCTTCACCTTAAGATTTGAGGTTTTGTGCCAAATATAATGCACACAGCGCCTAAAAAAACAGCAATAATTGTAACGCTTGGAATCTCCACGCAGTTAAAAAAGGCGATGGAACGATTTTTATGCTTTGCGCAAATGCCGCTTACAACGAATCCCTGAAGTTAACGACCTTTTGAAAAACGCGTTCGTTTTTCATGATCTTGACTTAAGAGTTCCGGGTATCGTAGCGGTTTGCGGAGATCTTTTCGGGACTGCCAAAACGATTTAAAAACTACATAATGTCGCGTTTGATGCGCTCGATATCTTTAACTCTTGCTCCAGGATTGTCTCAATCTCCTTTGCATAAAAACTGCAGATTTCTTTTTTTTTTTTTTTCAGTTTTCGTTATTCCAACCGCGCACTTGAAGGTGGCCGCCCTCTCTATAGCAAGTTGTTTTACCTCTGTTTTGAAAAATTCCCACACTCTTAGAAAAAAAAAAAGGTCAGTATAGTCCTCCATAAAGGGAAGAACGCTCTTGACACATATGTTCCTTCAGAAAGGGAGAAACTTTCGTCCTTTAAGCAGGGGAGCAAAAGTTCCTCCGTCGACTGCATCTCATTATGGTGGCCACGAATCGAGCAAATCGAGCTCGATAAGGCTTAACGAGAACACTAAGTCTATTGTACGAAGCGAGAGGAGCAGCAAATAAAAACGTAACACGAGCTTTCTGCGAACTGTATTTATTTCCGAAGTTTCTTTACCCCTGCAGGCAAAGAAACTTACGTTTCGAAAGCATGCAGTTACTCAGTCTTCTCATCGTCAGCACTGCGATGTTCAACGGAGACTGTTCGCTATGTTCGAGCGAGCAGCAGAGACGAGCGTACGCGAAGTTCAACAGCGAACAACAAGAAGAAGTTTATTCACTCGAAACAGCGGCTTATATCGCCACAGCTGATAGCGCCGACGCGGGGTTGTAACTGCTGACTCAACCCACGTGCCGAGCCCGAGCTGACGAGAAGCGTCTTATCACACATCTCCCCCTTTTTTTTTTTTTTTTTTTTTCCTCGACGTTTCCAGGCGCAAGCTGTTGGGTCACGACGCTTGGAACCGTGCTGGAGGAACCACACATCTTCCACTTCGCGTGTGAGTGTGACTCGTGTCGTTGCACTGTGGTGCTACAGTCCTCTGATCACTGGATGTTTCCGCCGACTCCGGGGCAACTTGCACTGTTTCTGAACGGTTTTCGGAAGTCGTCGCGGGCAGTGGGATTAGATGCGTCCGGTTTCTTCGCACAGAACTCTCATCGGTTTCGACCCAATACGACCTTGGCTCCGCAGGGCGCCCCTG